GTTAATTGATTTGGGTCAAATTGGTTTATGTAATGTCTGTCCCAGACCCCTTGCTGGTTTAAGTTAAACCAGACTCCCCCAGCATCCTGACATACTTGCTGGGTTGGGCAGGTCACTGCTCCACGGAAGAGCTGGCCCCTCCCCTCTGCTCCCTGGTTGGAGCTCGGCACAGACTGCAGGTGTCTGCCTGGCTTCCCCCTGCTCCCCCCCGCCCTCCCCACTCCCTGCTAAGCAGGGATTCCCCATCCCCTCTGCCTTACACAGACACCTCTCGGCATTAGCTAGCAGACCACATGCTGGCTACGGTCCCTGCTGTGTCAGATGGGACAAAGGCAGAATCAACAGGTAGCTGGTAATATCCCTCTGTTGTTTTCTTAATGGGGTGATAAACACTGAGTTAGGAGTGATAAACTCTGTGTTATCAATTCCCTGCTGGGTTCATGGGGGGCAGGGACCCCCTCCCTAATCCCTAACCAGAGTGTCCTGCCAGGGCCTGGCCATGGTCCCTCAGCTCAGCACTATAGAAGGGAAGGGAGGGCTGCTCTAGCACCTGCCCCCTACCACCCCAGCTTCTAGCCTGAGCCACTGCAGGCATGTGCCTGCATTTCTGTGATGTCTGTTCAGTTACATGCTGATTTAGCGTAGCCAAGTTAGACTAACCTGCAAAGATTGAATCAATTCAGGTTCAGGCTTTTGGAATGTCTGTCCCTAGCCCTAGTGTTGTGGGTGAATGAGTAGGCCACAGGTCAGGTTTTAGCTGGTTGCTTCTCCAGTTCTGAGCTAAGTATTCAATAGATAAACAAGATAGAGAATAATGTGTAAGTTTCTCCCCACTGGCAGCAAGAGTGCAGGCAAGAACCCAGGGCCTACTTCCTTCAGAAGCAGCAGCCTTCTCACTGAGCTGTAGCTCACATACCCTCTAGCTCACATTCTCCTGCCCTATTTCCATTTCTTGGCTGCCTATGGGGAAGATTCAAGATGAGGCCTAGTAAAAGAATTTTGAAATGCCTAATGCTTAATGTCCAGGCCGTTAGAATAGTGTTAGAGACACATAGGCTCATGCTTCTCTGGAGGAGAGGGGCCTAGACCTGGGTCTTTTGCTTCCTGGGGAGTGTTAGCTCATTGGACTAAAACATGGGAGTGGCCTGTCCCACCGGCACATAACACCTCCTAGTTGTACGTTTTTGCCTAACTACAATTTTGTGTCTTATGCTTGTGTAGGTATGTGTGTGCAGAGGTGCAGACCTGCCTAGTTGGAGCACAGCCTGCTGCTTACATGTTCATATTACATGTGGAATGAGAATGAAAATTGTGTGTAAGTGCCACAAATGGCAGTTGCACAGCTGCATAACTGTCATTTTGGTACATAAAGTGAAGCAGGGATCTGCCTTAAATAAAGCCTGGGCTAATTTAAATTAACAGGTCTTCATGTGCAAAAGTAAATATTATAGAAGTATTATATAGTATTATAGAAGAAATATAGAATATTATATAGTATCATAGAAGAAAAACTATATTGATTTTTTTTTTTTTTTTACATACTGGAAGCATGACAGTATAAACTGATTGATTTACATGATGAAGGCACGATTGTAAAAATTGGGTCATGAAAATATGTATAAATGGGAAAAATCTAAAAGAAATCTTTAATTTGCTATATTATTGTCTTATTACCAAATGCATATTCGTACTTCATTTTAGTATCCAGTCAACAAATGACTTGTAGGTATTTTGAATCTAGAACTGGTATGATTTAAAAAACCGAAAAAAAGATGTAATATTGCTTTTTCATATTTCAGAAGTAGCTATATTATTCTAGAATATAGAATATTAGGGCTGTGTGCAGTTCAATTCCTGATATGCTTTGATGGAGATTCAGCCTGATTTGGTGGCCAAATCTCTGAATCCGAATTGAATCAGGAGACTATTTACTCTCTCTTAATCAAATCGGAACCCTCCGAATTGATTCGGAACGATTCAGCGATTCAGATATCGACACAGCTTTAAATGCTTTTTCTACATACCTCAAGGTACCGGGCAGCTCATGAATGCTGAAGTGCAGGGGCAGATGGAGCATCCCACAGGAGTGCAGGGGGCTCGCCAGCGTGCTCAGTAGTAGACTTGAAAGTGGACCAGATTCTGGTCCACTTCAAGGTCCACTGGGGAGTGCGCGGGGGGCCCCCACATTCTCCTGCCTCAGCAACTGGTGCTTCCCGGGTCTGGGGGGCCCCCCAACGCTCTCCCTGGCATACCCGGAAGTGGACTGGAAATACTTCTGGTCCACTTAAAGGCTTGCTGCCAAGCATGTGGGCCCCGCACCCTCTGTGCTCCTGTGGGATGCTCCATCTGCCCTAGCATTGCAGTGTTCATGAGTCATGCCTGGTGCCTCAAGGTGTGTACAAGAAAACATTTAAAGCTGTGTCTGTGGCCAAATTGCTGATTCTCTGAATCAGCATCAAATCTTCGGATTTGGATTTGGCCGAATCAAATCGGGGACAGTGATCCGAATCAATTAATCAAATCATTGTCCCCGATTCGGGCCGAATCCGAATCCAAATCAAATGTGGCCCATTTTGCACACCCCTACAGAATATCCAGTTCTATATTATTGGGTATTTTAGGCAAAATAATATATGAAGATACTTTGGGAAACATGAAGACTGCTTTCAAAAACAAACTTGGAAAACACCAAGCACACTGCTACCATTAAGCAGTAGCATCTGCTTATGGCAGAACATCACTTCCATGGAAACGAGGGAGACACATTTTTATAATCTGGAATCAATATTGCCAGATTTTATTGGCAGAATATGCTTAGGCAAACATGGTGGCTTTGTAATTGCTCCAAAATATTTTCCAACTCTATAAATACATATAAAAAATCCAGTCCATTCTTATTGTCTTTATCCAAAACAAAACTGTGTGCGTTTGTGTGTAGGAAGACTGGTAGCAATTTTAGACTGTTATTCTGATCAACTTGCTTCTGCCTTCTTTCCTAGGAAGTGTGTAGAGAGCTCTGGTGCCTCAGCAAGAGTAACCGCTGTGTTACCAACAGCATTCCAGCAGCTGAGGGTACTCTCTGCCAGACAGGGAGCATTGAGAAAGGGGTGAGTTCAAGTGATTTGTTGTTCTATGAGAAGTTTGAAAATGAAAAAAAAAGAAGAGAAAGACCAGAGAGAGCTAATTTTTTATGCTTGGATAGGAGATTTTAAAACTGAGATGTGCTAATTTAGATTGCATTTGCATAATGAACTCCACCCTAATGGAAAATTCCTATAGAATTTAACAGAAAATAACATATATATTCATTTAATAAAGAAATTATTCTTGAGGTAGAATTCTGTAGGCTGGCTTGACAAAAAATATAGTAAGATTTTTTATTAAATTCCGTATGTTTTCAGAGTAATTTCCATAAAAATTCTATTTGTTTCATTTTTATTAAACGTTATAGCACTCTTCCATATGAGACTACTTTAGCTTTGAGCCTATCATAGGCTCATGAATTATCTCTCAAGTTATCTGCCGAAATTGAAAGTTATTATTTTTTAGGTGATAAAATCATTTTTATTCTTTTAAATCCAAGCTAAATCACTCTATGGCATGTAAAATAGTTATAGTTTTAGTAAGGGAGATCCTTATAACTCTCATTTCCTGTTGACCATGCTGTTTTGGGTCTCATTTATTTCTATAGAATCCTGTTGTTTATGTAAAATATTCACTTTAAAAAGATTTTGCCCTAAAAGCTGATAAACTTCTGGATATAATGGGTAGAAATGATCTCTGTAAAAAACAGTTGTTTCAGTGGGGCAGCATCTTGATCTATTCTTTTTTTTCCTCATGTTTATGCAGGCTATGGAGATAAATATCTGTGTGTCTGCAAGTGCGTATGATAGGAAAAAACAAAGTTTAACATTTTTCATTTGGTTAGTGAAGATATGTTAATTTTATAAATGGAAAAAAGACTTGTATCAGAATAAGTATTGCATAACTAAAGCCTGAATTCCTTCAGAACTATGACGGTAACACGGGGGGGGGAATATTTTAAAATAAATTTGTTTGTAGAATACTGAAATAAATTGACTTTCATATATCCATTTTTAAGAATATGTAAAAGACACTTTTCATAGGTTGGTTCAAATTGATAAGAGTCATTGTCTTAAACTATTCCTAATAACCCTTGGGGATTGCTTCATTTGCAGATGAGTCCCTACAATTTACTGCTCCAGACTGGATTAATGCTAACAATGACTACTGTCATCTGTTCTCAGTCCTGACTCTTGCCATGTTTGCTGGGCTAGTTTCAACAAAGATTACACTGCATTTCAACTTGCAATCTGATGTTTAAATACAGAGAATGAAAGCATTTGGGCAGCTGTCACGGTTTATTAATCTTTGCTGACGGCTTCATTCAGGACCCATGACCTAGCACCATTCTGATGGCTTTTCCATGCTGAGTTTAGAAATACCGGTAAACCATGTAAAATAAATTCATTGAAGGGGTCATTTAAAAAAAAACCTAGCACTTACAGTTAGCCAATAAAAATAGGGAGACCTTCACATTCTACAAAAATGTTACCTTTTATTAGAGTAATAGAAAATGCTAGGAGGCTTTTTCTTAAATCAACAGTCTAGGTTTATTTTGGAACCACCACTTTTTGTCAATGACAAGGAGCAATTTACCTCAATGTACGTGTTTAAAATTGTGAAACTATAGTGTAAAAGTCAAGATTCTTTAAGACGCTATTGCTGAGTCCATTTACCAGAAGTTATAGTCTTTCTGTTCTCTAAAATACATCACTTCCGCTCATCAATAATTCCTCACCGGATTTTAGAAGCAGGCATAGGTGAGGTATTTTACTTACACAGATAAAGCTATCCATCCCACTAAACAGTAGAGAATTCTATTCATAGGTTCCAGCTTCAAAGCTTCTTGTAAATGAATGGTTCTTGATAGCTACAAAGGCATAAAATACCAATTCTTTCGTAATATATAGCTTACTTTACCATACACTAAGAAGAAATGAATGGCTTGCTATTGTATATCACTTAATAATAACATTTATATTGTATCCACATCTAAAACTGACAACCAGATTTGGCCCTATTGTGCTAGGAGCTGTCCAGTTAGATAATAAAAGACAGTTCCTGCTCCCAAAAGCTTAATTAGACCCAAAGGTACTCAGGAGACCAATTTCTGCTTTGTGACACTGGTGTAAACTCTGAGTATGACAGTGACATTTTTCTAGCTATACGCTGCAAATAGGAGCAGAATTTGGTAGGGGGTGTAATTGTGTATGTTAATGTCTAGTTGACAAAGCTGGGAGAGAAATGTATAAAATTGCATAACTCTCCATTATAAGACCCTCTTTTCAGTCACTTAGATATCCATGGCAAGCATTAACTATTTGGGCTGACATTTTCCACATTAAGCATTGGCCTCAGACTGAAGAATTTTTTGAATAATTCTGAAAAACTGTTCAGCTGTTTCTGAGAATCTGAACAGGGAATAATGCATTATTATTGTAATGTAATAATTATTTTACACAAGGACTTAATTTTGGCAAAATGTCACTTTGAATCAGAAAGGTGCTTTTTTTTCCTGTCCCTGTGAAACTTGATTCAGATTTAGATGAGGCTTCAGTTTTTGTATATATGTACATAATTTTATAAGTAGTTTAAACAAAAAGCTGTCACACAGAGTTTACAAGTAAAATAAAAAGACAGAACAAATGGCAATGTGCATTTTTATCATTACATTTGTAACAGCTTAAAAATGCTGACTTTTCATTAGCCACCAATGTGGACTTGTTTTAGCTAGGTTACCAAAGTACTCAGTGTTCTTCCAATTTGAAATATTTATACATAAAGACAAAACTTAGAGCCAGGACCTAAGAGAGAAGGGAATGAGGATACAGTTTTGCTGGGGCCTCCAAAATGAAGATAATTTTCTTTTTTAATAGGTAGTAAAATATAAGTAGTACAATATTAATTGCAAGAATATGTGTAAATAATGTAGAAGTATCATCTCTAGAAGATTATTTCAAAACATTTTATTTCAGCATAAAATTCAAATAGTATTTCTTTATTTCCTGTTTCCAGTGGGAGGTGTTGGGGAGAATCTTTCTGTCAGGATGTGCTGGGTTCTGAAATTTCTCTCAGGCCTTGCTTACATCTGAAAAAGCTGATAAATAGGCAATAGGCAGTAGGGAATAGTCAACAGAGGACAAGATCATTTTTAAAATTATTATTTTCAGACACCTAGCTCAACAAAATTTGGCATATTTTTATAGAGGGAGTTGTATCTTACCTACTGATAAAAGCTGCTTTTACAATTATGCCCCTCACAATATCTTGCTCACAGAAATGTCCTTGACAATATTGTATTCATAAGTCTTTCTAATTATTCTTTCCTTTCCTTAAATCAATAGCATATTATGCTGCTGATAAGTCAATATCTTTACAAAAATTTTTTCCATACATAAAAGTAGAGTGAAAAATACATACCGATTTTAACTATAAAACTTCAGTTGATGGTTTCATAATGTTGTTATGATATAAAGCTCTTTATCCAATAATGATTTCAATGAGAAGGTCAGAATAATGCTTCAGCTGAAATGGGCAGAAACCCTATTTCATTTTCCACCCATAAACAACACTTACTAAGCTGTGTAACTGCCATTTGTTGGCACTTAAGCACAGTTTGCAGTCTTATTCTCAAAGCATCCACACAGCTACTGAACGTGGTCAGTAGGCTGCACTCTGGGCAAGTTTGTATGTGCCTCTGCATGCATGTGCCCAGGTGTGAATCACAAAATTGTTCCTAGGAAGAAATCAGGCCCCTTCATATCTTTTAGCTCAGTACCCTAGTGCTTAGCATGCTCACCCAGCATGTGGGAGACCCCAGTTCTATATTTCTTCCACCCCAGATAAGGTTTGAACCTACACTGCCTGCATCCCAATACATTTTCTATCAACTAGGTTGCAGATTAGATGCCATTACATCTCCTTCCAGCCCTGCTCTTGAAGCTGACCCATTGCACCTTGCATATAGTATCCATTGGATAAAAAGGACTGAGAGCAGAAGGGAAGTCCCTGTCCTATTGGGAGTAAGGTTTTAGGCTGAAAGCTAAGGTCCCTTTACACTCTCTAACTCTCTTTCTTTTGGGCCTATATATCTTCTTCTCTTGGCTGCACAGGAAGCCAGCTTCAAGAAGGCGGTTGGGGAGGATCCCGCCTAACACCTGATGGTTAGAGTACTGAATTAAGAAGTTAGAGATGTAATTTCAAACCCCTTCTAGGCATAGGACAATCCAGGATTTTGAAAAGTGGGGTTTGAGGTTAGGGGCTAGCACTGCAAGGGTAGCTGTACCCCTACTTCCAACTTCTTTCTCTCCCCAGTGTGGGCAGATTGCACTGCAAAGCAAGAGATGGGGACTTCTTTATGCCCCCAAGTCAGGTAACGATCCCTACCTCAACTCTTGACACCCCTTTCCCTTTCCCTCCATGCTCAGGGGCATGTCCCCCCTCCCATTCCCTTTTCCCCTATCTGCTGCTGCTGCTGTCCTTCCTGACATGGGGTTTAGGGGTATTTTTGAGAATTGCTTCTGTTCTGCTCCAGCCAGGCTGGACAGGAAGCCAGATTCAGCCAGAGGCAGTGATGGTTTTCCCATGCCTGCAGGATTCCCTTCCCTGAGCCTAGTCCTGTGTTGGCAAGGGAGACCAGTCCTGGAGGAGGGAGGAGATTGGACAGTGGGGAGGAACTCCTCATCTGCTACTGCCTCTATCCCTGCCTGATCCCAGCTCTTCTTGCAGCCCAGATGGAGTAGGGCAGGAGTGGCTCAGGAGCTCTTCCCACCTCTGGCTTATCTGGGCTAGGGACAGACATTACACATAAACCAGTTTAAGTGATCAGAAACTGATTTAAACCTGTAACAGAATGGATGTTCAGTGCACCTAAACCAATTTGAAAATAGCTGGTTTATGCAATGTCTGTCTCATATGCCTTGCTGGTATAAGTTAAACCAGACTCTCCCAGCATCCTGGCATTCTCGCTGGGCTGGGCAGGTCACTGCTCCACAGAAGAGCTGGCCCCTCCCCTCTGCTCCCTGGTTGGAGCTCAGCACAGACTGCAGGTGTTTGTCTGGCTTCCCCCTGCTCCGCCCCTGCCCTCCCCACTCCCTGCTAAGCAGGGATTCCCCATCCCCTCTGCCTTACACAGACACCTCTCAGCATTAGCTAGCAGACCACATGCTGGCTACGGTCCCTGCTGTGGCAGACAGGACAAAGGCAGAATCAACAGGTAGCTAGTAATATCCCTCTGTTGTTTTCTTAATGGGGTGATACATACTGAGTTAGGAGTGATAAACACTGTGTTGTCAATTCCCTGTGACAGGGATCTGCCTTAAATAAAGCCTGGGCTAATTTAAATTAACAGGTCTTCATGTGCAAAAGTAAATTGGATGTATCCCTAATCAGAGCATCCTGCTGGGGCCTGGCCATGGCGCCTCAGCTCAGCACTGTAGAAGGGAAGTGAGGGCTGCTCTAGCACCTCCCGGTTTCTAGCCTGAACCACTGCAGGCATGTGCCTACATTTTTGGGATGTCTGTTCAGTTACAAACTGATTTAGTCTAGCCAGGTTAGACTAACCTGTAAAGATTGAATCAATTCAGGCTCAGGCTTTTTGAATGTCTGTCCCTAGCCCTGGAGACAATGGCAGCAGTAGATGGTAGAGGGGAGAATTAGAAGAGAAGGTACTTGCTGTTGAGCATGGAGGAAAAGGGACACTAGACTTCTTACTAGTCTTCTTCTGATTTGGGGACTTAAAAAAGTCCCTTGATGCTGCTCCCACAGTGTGGTCTGAAAGGGGAGGAGGTGCAACTGCACCACTGCATCCCCTCTAGATTCACCCTTGCTTCTAGCTGAAGAGGATCTAGAACCTTTATCTTCTACTTCCTGGGTGAAGGCCCTAACCATTAGGCATTGATTTAATGTGGGGAACCCCCCTCTAAAACTGTGAGTCATAGGTTTTTCAGCTATAGTTTCAGAACTTATGCTCACCCAGTTTCAGGACTTACACTCTTCTAATTATGTGTGTATAGATCTGAATACCTGGTCAGCAAAAGTATAGCTTACTGAGCTTGCTTATCCACCCCGCACATGGAATAGGATTGCAAACAATGTAAGTGCCAAAAATGGCAAGTGTCATTTGCCAGTGGTAAATGCCATTTGAGGGTGGAAAGTGAAATAGGATTCTGCTGCTACTGTACACAAAGAAGTTTCGGTTGAAGCATTCTCCTGAGCTTCTCATTGAAATTATTATTGGACATATAGCTTCGTATAATAACATTATGGAATCACCAATTGTAGTTCTGTAGTTAAACGGAGACGAGTTTTCACTTAATTTCTTTTAAGTATATAAGGCTTGTTTAAAAAAATTACAAATAGAAATCTGCTAATTAACTTTAAGTTTAGGGATTAAAACTAATTTAGTAGTGGTTTTAAATTTAGCACATGATATCCCACTTCTTTTTATCCTGATTTTCATTACTGTCAGAAATGGACTTCCATGTAGTTAACACTTACTAAAATCTTACTTATAGACTATATTTTAAGTATTTTTAATTAATAATAGGAGCACAGGAACTTAGGACTGGAAGGGGACTCTTGGGCCATCAAGTCCAGTCTCCTTTATTCTCAGAAAGTTATTGATCCAGAGTCCTCTAAAATGTTCACTCTAGTTTTGTCACTCACAGACACACCCACAAAAGTACTCTAGGGGCCCTGCTACACTTTCAAAATAAAGCTGGCTAGAAACTAGCCATAGAGTTGTTACGCATTTTCAAGCACTAACTTTATAGCTGGTTGGCTCTCTTTTAACTGGCTAGTCATTTTTATCATGTGATAATTACTTTGCACATGTGGCTGGTCTAAATTTATTGTGCACTTAACCAGTCAATTGCATAATATATGTAGCACGTTGCAGGGACCTATAGTAACAAAAGCAAAAACATTGTGCAGTGTGTCACAGGCAAAAAGCTAGGTGAATAAGTTGCTGCCAGTAGCCTGCCACTGTGATGGCAGACAAGGTATTAAGATAATTAAGATAATTAATACTGATATCATCCTAAAAAGTGGACCATATCTTATTCTGTAAAGCAAAGAAAAAATCTCCACAGTTCTTGCTTGACTAAGTGGAAATAGTTTTTTTTCCAATTGCAAATCTTGTGAATAATTTGTCCCTGAGTGGAAATGTAACTGCAGCCAGGTACTCAAGTTTCAAAGCGCAGAAAGGAGTAGCAGCATCCCCAGTCAAAACTCCCACCTCCTAACTGTGACAAACAGCCAATGTTTCTGAAGAAGGTGAACCACCACACAGCATTCAATAAAGCATTCATGGGAGGAAAATTCCTTCTTGGCTCCTACAGACAGGCAGTAGAATAACTGAATTAGTGGATACCTCCTATATGAAAATCTTAATTTGGCAATTACAAATCCTAATTAAAATCTTAATATGAAATTTTCAAAAGCTTTAATCTATACATCACATTATTGATTCCTGATATTTTTCATACTGAAATGATACTCCTTCAGCAGGGATGGAAGGTTAATGATTTAATACTGGATTTTCATGAGGAATTGCCATATCTTGTTGTTCTCACTGTCATGTCTATACCATTAAGAGAGAGTAAATTTATAGTTGTGTGCCTAATGTGCAACCTGTTCATCTGTTATGGGCATAGGTAGCATGCTTCACTGTGGTGATCTCTGTTGTGATCCTTTGACAATATAGAGATAACCACTGGGAATGTGGCCGCTGACTGTTTTTTGCAAATGCCCCACATTTATCATTTACCTGCTCCTCAGGTAACAGTATTATTTGTCTGTTCCTGAGAGCAGGTGGGGCCACCTTCCTCAGTGATGGGGAGATGATGGCCATTTTGAAAGAGAATATTTTTGTGAGTTTTCCTGAAAGAGTTGTTCAGTAATTCTAGCCTCTGCTAAAGGATAAATATTCAGTTTAAAAAATAGAACAGCAAAAAAGAGCAATAACCCTAAATATTTCTTTTCAAAAGTTGTCTGTTTTACTCTGTATAAGAGAGAGCTCGTTTGAGGGATGTGGGAGAAAGAAATGAAATTTAGAGAACAACAGAGAGTACAAAACTAAGGTGTATATGCTGGCTTCTTTACAGTCCTCTGGAAAGAGAAAAGCAGGCCCAACCCAATTTAGCCAGCCAGTATGCTCTAGCTGATTTCTCGTGCTCCAGAGTGATGTAAAATAGCCAGGACATATTGGTGAATCTTGCCATAAAAGTTAAACTTAAGTAAGTTTGTTATTTCATATTACTAGAGATATCACTTGGGAATGTTTTCTTTGAATTTCTTGTTTAGTGTTCATATGTAGAATTCTAAATTAAAAAAAAATGAAATTTGCAGACAAAAATATATTAAAATGGAGTTGTTTCATATTACATATCAGTAATTTCATGTTGTGCAATAAAAAACTATGAGAATAAACAACAGAGTATTTTTTTATTGACAAGAATATGAAATGTTAATGTTCCTTCATTACAAATGATATTTACAGCACTATTTATACCAGAACATACCTGATGATATAGAATAGTGTTCAAGAACATAATTCTCTATTTAAAAATCCTAAAGCACCTTAAATTTACTATGGCTGCATCATGTAATTCTTATTCACAAAGAATTCCTAATGAAAATTGGTATTTCTTGAATAAGGTTGAAGGTTAAATTCTTATTTCAGTGGGAGTGTCTACACATTCATTAATGCAGTTTTGCTACTGTGCATTAAATTTAGTAACTCTACTAAATGTGCATTAAGTTGCCGTAATGAACAGTAGCAAAAGCACATACTTTTTTAGTGAAAATGCGCAGTAGCCTATCTTTACTGTGAATTAGTATATTAGCATGGGTTTTGTTGTGATGCTTTAATGTGCAGTAAAATAGGCTACTGCACATTAAAGCGCACGTGTAGATACACCCAGTTATACCTAGGTAAATTCAGTGCAACACAGTTTAGTTTCAGTAGAGTTATTTGGACTTTCAGCCATGTAACAGAAAGCAGAATTTTGTTGTAAGAAACGATAATAGGAGTTGGCTCTGTATGATGTAAATAAGATTCGTCAAACTGGACTTACAAAATAATTAGTTTATTTAATGTCTGTTCTTTTTACAATGGATTCATGGCTTTATGCATACAATAAGTCCAGCTATTATATTAGCAGTATTTCAATATGCATGTTCATTTGGTTTTGGAACATATCACAAATATGTATGTATAATGGTTTTCTATACCCCTCTGATCTTTTGGCATAATTTTTAGTGTAGATGAAATACAGCAACAAATTCTTCTTCCATTGTATCTTCACCCAGACTTATTTTTTAAAATAAGAAGAGATTACTATAATAAAAATTCCATAGTGGGGAATTTTCCATGTTGCATTATTGAGCCATTAGTTGAATTATAGGTGGGGTGGTTTATTTAAATAATCTTTAAAATGGGTCTTACTGCCTAAAAGAATTTGAGCGTTTTAGTCCCTTTAATGATACACACCAAGTAGGGTTGTGACTTAAGAAAAAAAGAAGAAAGAAGAAATTTGTCTTAAACTTTTCATGTGTTTTAGTTACCTATAATTCAGGGCTTAGCAAAATATAATTAACAGATCATAGATACTTTCACTAATGTCTAAACATGGCTAGAAAAAGTAAAATATCAGTCAGTTATCTATACAGAGAATGCTAATGCCTATAATTGGTCATTGCCTGACCCTTATATTTTTCTGTCCTGATAACTCTATCAGCCTGAAAGCTAATTCTGTGTTTTCTGTGAAATCTTTCAGTGGTGTTATCAGGGAGAGTGCGTACCTTTTGGCACTTGGCCCCAGAGCATAGATGGGGGTTGGGGTCCGTGGTCAATATGGGGAGAGTGCAGCAGGACCTGCGGGGGAGGAGTCTCCTCATCCATAAGACACTGTGACAGTCCAGCGTAAGTAGCTAAAGTAAGCCGAAGCCAACAAAAAGATATATTTGGAAATTATTCAAAACTGTGGTTTCACATGTTATCTGTAAAAACGTTTCACTGGTGTGCCAACACTTGTCTTCAAAATAGCATACAGGAACAGCTATGCAGGAGAAGCTTGCTAGACATACTTTCACATTTTTAAATGTATGCATTATGCATGTACTGTAAAGCCAGTCACTCTCTAAATTTATTAGTAATTGACAAGCTTTCCTTCTCAAATTTCCTATTTATGCAAAAGTTCGTTATTTACACCTTAGATATGCTTCTATGTTTTTAGATGTGATTGTCTCAAATATTTGCCTGAATATAAAATAACTATTATTAATTAATATTAAAAATATCAGAATATTTAGAACTTTTGAAATACAGTGATTTTCATATATATCACAATGACTAATAATACCATAAATACAGTAAATTTTCCTTTTGTCACATCCAACAGTAATTACTTTTTCTGAGCTGCTTCTGTCCACTCAAATGGTTTAACTATTTCTTTCCCCACCATTACTATCACTTGGCCAACCTGCTCCTCTACTTTAGGTTGATTTCTTCCCTGCTGCTCCTGTTGTTTTCTGGTGTGTCTGCTTTATCCAATCCTGTTGCTTCTATCATCCCCATCTGCTTCTCTGTCTTAATTAATGTTTCAGAAGAGGTTTATTGGGTGGCTGCTCTTCTTTATGTTGTCACTGATTCTCATTTTAAGTCTAAAATGCCTCTCTATCCCTATTGTTGCTCTTTGCTGAAGGAACCTCAGCTTTTTCTACCACTGTTTGCTCTGTAGGTTCCTCATTCCAGCTATAGTTCCCACGCAGCTGGAACATTTTCACCCTTATCTTTGTTCAAGTCATGCCTAATGGTATCCATTTCAATCCCCACCACTATTTCCTGTGTACCTAGGATCACTCTTCTTTAATACAGTAGGTTCTTTTGCTTCTTCCCTCTCAATTTTTCCTTAATTTTGGTCACTCCTTCCTTCTCTACTGCTTTCTTTAGATTTGGGACTTCTGCCTGTTATGTCAGTCTGTTCTATGTCAGGCTGCATTCACCTCATCATTGCACTATGTAGATCAAACTGCTTCTGTCCAGTCACCATAGTGTATGACCCACAGCATCATGATATATTGCTTATGACATTGTGACTGTGCAAGATGGGCTGTTCACACCCTCAGCACTAGAAATATCTGCCAAACACATGCTAAACATTATTAAATTTAAAAGTGCTATTTGCATAAATACAATAACAACATTTTATACTATTATGAACACTTCATAATAACTAAAACAAGTGCATCTTTTAGCATCAATACAAATAACTTTTAAAGTAGTTGTAAATTATGTTCTTTTGATCTGATCCTGCTTCCACTGAAGGAAATGGTCAAATGGAAAAATAATTCATTTGTCATTGTAATGCACAGTATCTAAATGTTCCTAATGTTAACATTTCAAAGCTTAGCAAATGAATAAAAATACTACCGTATTTACTTGAATATAACACAAGGTCTCCCCCACAATCAACATGGGGGGAAAAAGCCTCTCATCTTGCATTCACCTACAAGGGAATCTGGCTAAATATATTATCTATTATTCAACTGCTGCCAAAAGCAAATGGAAACCAAATATAAAGTTGATTAAATGCAGCCAATGCTAAGCACAACTATAAAATGCATGTTCCGATATGGGGCAAACATACTGATGGGAACCTACCATAAGTTTAGGTTAGGTTAATGTAAGTCATCTGAATAACATATACAGTTAGTCCCCACTGAGCACAGTCTCCCTCAGCACTGATTCTTTTTCAAGTCATAGTGAACCACTTCATTGAATACATTTCAAGTTCCTCTTCATTCCAACAGCTGAGCTGCACCTTTCTTTCCCATTTCCAGTGAGGCCAGTTTTTTAATCAACCTTAAATGTCTAGCAAACATTACCAAACAGAGCTTCAAACAGCTTACCTAGAATCCCTCTTTTACCCCCTATCTCAGCCTATTGCATATGATAAAAGTGTGGCCTTGCCCTCCATGACATGGAACCAGACCTCATCTGCATATACATTTTTGGAGGATCCCAGGACTCATGACAAGAATACCTGTTTTCAGTCATGAGTGGGGAGCTGTTTAGCTTATGGAAACTTTGTTGGGGCTATCTGGAGTATAAACACATAGGACACCTATACACATGCCTGATGCCTGCTCTGACACAGGCTAATTACATGTGCCCAACACATTGGGACAGACTTGATTAATTGAGTTTGCCGGAGTGTGCTAATTAGCAGGTTCCAGAAACCTCAGTGTCACATGTATTCACTGTTCCTGTGCTCCAAAATGGCAGTGCGGACGCTTTAACTAAAGCTTGTCAAACAAGCTTTAGTTAAAGCATGCCCACCACCATTTTGAAGTATGGGGCGCTGAATACATGAGATGCTGTAGGTGCTTTAATTAGAGTAACTCATGAAAGCCACTTTAATTAAAGCATCCCCTTTCTCCCTCCCCTTGAGCATGTGTAAAGATGCCTATATTGAGCAGAGCTGAGCTGTGGGATCATCATGGCTTGAAACATTACTGTCTCTGCTGGGGCCCAGCCCAATGAATTTAATGGTAAATTATGAGCCTTTTGAACAAATACCTTGCATAATTTGTACTATATGCAAGTACATACAAAAGTATTGCTTAAAATTGTGTTTATGGAGTACTTGTGCTAGAACTTGCGGTAGTTTCAAAAAAGGTAAAATGCATCCATTTTGAATGAAGTAGGTCTATGAGTACCTGTAGTAACTTCCATATTTGCAAGTTACTACAGGTATGTTTATTTCTAGGTCGGTATTTTCAAATTTGCTTCTCACTTCCATGTGCTCAGTGGGGAGCAGGGTCTGACACTAAGGAAGTGGGGAGGGAGCTGCAGGGGAATGAAGTTGGTGGGAGCAGAGGCCAAGGAGGCTGCCTGACCCCTCCCCCCCCGACTTATTTTTCCTACTATACGAGTGGGAGGGGGACAAATTCAAGGCGAACCTCCAGTTAGAGTCTATACCTGGAAAAGGGTAACGATTTTCTAAACTTCTACATATAAAAGCTAATTATTGTGAGGTCGTCTTATAACCAGTGTCATCTTATATTCTAGTAAATACGGTATTTCCATTCAATTATGATAAGGTTTAAATCTCCTCAACTGCTATGACTGTTATTTTATGATGATGTCATCTGATTAAGGAAAGTACAAACTAGCCATAGTAGGAAAATCTGTATTTTATATTTTTTCTAATTATTTGTAGCTATCTTAATATCCTTTGAAATAAAAGTGGAACACTGAGATTCTATTTTTACCTACTTTCAATTTGCATGTTACCTGTTAATGCTTTGGTTCCTGATTCAGCTCCCACTGAAGTCAATGGTAGTCTTCCTTGCTGAAAGAAGCCCTTGATGTAACTGGGCACTCTATATGTCAATTTTGTTTAGTCATATTATTATAAATCTGGAATACATGTGTGGCTTCATTATAATTATTTATTATTACAAACTTAGCGCTGTCTAATTTAGAACAGAACCACATTTTCAGTTGATAAAGAACGAAGCTTTTGCAACTTACTTCAATATTGTAACAGACAATTTCTATATATTCTTGTTATATTTACAAATGTAATCAGTGGAATAAAATATAATATAGGCTGTTTTATATTATTTTTCTAATTTTAAAGGCTAGTAAATCAATAATTCAAAGGTATGTCATTTAACTGCAGTTTTTTGTGCATACTTTAATTTGTAATTCTTTCAATTTATGCAAATATTACGTACAATTGGGAGTTTGAAGTGTTTGGCATTAACCTACCTCTGTTCCTATTGAGGAAAATGATAAAATTCTTATTCATTCTGATGGGAAAAGAGTTAAGCCTGCTTAGATCACTTTTGAAAATCCCACCCTAGAATTATACATGCTTATTTATTTATATCGTATACATATATATGTATATACGACATAATCATATATATATTTATGCAACATGTAAATGAATGTGTTTTCAGACCTTCAGGTGGAGGAAAATACTGTCTTGGAGAAAGGAAACGTTATCGCTCCTGTAATACAGATGTGAGTAAAACTACATCCCAGTATAAAAGTTAATCAGCTTCCTTTATCTCCAGGAGTCAATGGACAAAACTTATCCTGGTTCAACTTCATTTACTGCACTGGAATGATGGACGTAGTGAATGTTGTACTCCATGGCTCTGTAGCACAGGGAGGTTTGCTTAATATATAGGTTCTATACATGTTCTGTCACCAGTAAATGCCCATGTCTATACCTGCCATTCAAATAGAGGTGAGCACAGTTTAAGCTTGCAAGTTGGGGCTATGCTGTATGGGTATGTAGCAAGGCTAAGCTACAACCCATCCTTTCTTTCAGCTTCCCCTCGCCAAGAACACAGCACTTTGCTTGGTGAGTGTAACATAGTAAGAAAACTCAAGTACAGATACTAGTAGCATACCCAGAGTTCTTTAGACCTATATCTTTTTGCTATTTAACAATACTACCTATCTAGTTCGCACTAAAAATACATAGAGCCACAGGGTCCAAAACCCGCTAACATAAAATGAACTAAAATTATTTACAGCAGGCAAAACAATAGTTACACGAAATCAATTAAAAGCTTTTAGCCAATAGAGAGCAAAAAGTCATTTAAGAACCATTTACTCCCTAAAAGACTATAGCAACCTCCTCTTTGTGGGCCTTGTAATTTAAAAACTATATAAAAACATGCCTAGGAAGTGTCAGTGTATACGTGGTGATTGAGTAGTAACTGTGGCATAAATCATATAGAATCATAGAAAATCAGGGTTGGAAGGGACCTCAGGAGATCATCTAGTCCAACTGCCTGCTCAGAACAGGACCATTTTTAACCATATTACCCCAGTCAAGGCTGTGTGTACCCAGGTCTTAAAAACCTCCAAGGATGGCAATTCAACAATCTGTCTAGGTAACCTGTTCCAATGCTTTACTACCCTCCTAGCAAGAAAGTTTTTCCTTTTATATAACCTAAACTTCCCTTGCTGGAACTTGAGACCATTGCTTTTTGTTTTATCATCTGTGACCACTGAGAACTTTCTAGCTCAATCCACTTTGTAACCACCCTTCAGGTTGTTGAAGGCTGCTATAAAATTCCCACTCAGTCTTCTCTTCTTTTAGACTAAATAAGCCTAGTTCCTTCAGCCTGTCTTCTTAAGCCATGTTTCCTAGTCCTCTTACCATTTTCATTGCCCTCTGCTGGACTCTCTCCAATTTATCTACATCCTTTCTGTAGTGGGGGCCCAAAAGTGGACACAGTACTCCAGATGTGGCCTAACCAGTGCTGAACAGAGGGGAAGAATCACTTCCCTCAGTCTGTTGGCAACACTTTTACTAATGCAGCCCAGTTTGCCATTAGCCTTCTTCACAACAAGGGCACACAGTTGGCTCATACTCAGCTTCTTATCCACTGTAACTCCTAAGTTTTTTTCTGCAGAGCTACTCCTTGGCCAGTCAGTCACCAGCCTGTACTGGTATATGGGATTGTTCCATCCTAAGTGCAAGGCTATGCATTTATCCTTACTGAACCTCATGAGATTTGTTTTGGTCCAATCCTCCAATTTTTTCAAAGTCTCTTTGAATCCTAGCCCTACCCTTCAGATGGGGTATCTGCCCAATCTGTTAAGAATACATCATCCTTATCCTCCAAGTTCAGCAAGCTTCAGCATTTCAGAAAATTATCAAACATCTTTTGAATCAACTCCCCAACACTATAAATAGTTGTCCCACAATCAAAAGCAGAGCATCTACAGTGAACTTAACCCCTTTTCTGTCCTTTCAGCTAAGAGGAAAAGAAAACTTGTCACAAAATATACCTACAATAGTCCATTCCTAGAAATGTTCCATCTTGACAGAGGTCTGTAACATTTGCATTGCAATGCAACGCGAGCAATCAGAGGAAGGCTTGCCTAGCTCAACTTACTATGGATATAAGCCAAGGGATGAGTATATATTGCTGCCTAGACATATCCAAAGACTTGACCTGAACAGTCTTAAGTGCTTAGCCAAGTAAATATCTGAGTACTTTTTAGTAACAAAGGATGATTTTGTATAATTGTTCTTTGACTTCTTTGACTTAGCCTCATCAGTCAATTAAAAAAATCTGTATTGGCCTATTTTCTGTATTTTATTGTTTATATTTTTTTACCTGAAACTTAAGGTTATTCATAATCATTTTGTAGATCACTTTGGCCTTTTACTTGGAAACTACCTTCATACGCATTGATGATTTGTGTTTATATAATTATTAAGAAAAAACAATAAGGCATCAAGTGGAATTATAACAGGGATAAACTGGCACAAGATAACAGGACACACTGGGAAGAATTAATAGTTAGAAGTAAAGACATTTCAAGTTAGCACCCTATTGCACAATTTCACTATTTTCAGTGCTACTCTCTGAATCTTCCCAGGGTTACTGGTTTATTGCAAACATATGCAAGTAGACCTAGTAAAAAAAAATCCAGCTACTTTTTTTTGAATGAAGACATTTACATTTAAAATGTTTACATATACATTTTATGAAATAATAATTTCAGTAAGCAAAATAAAACCTTTTTGTCACCTATTTTCTTCTCTCCCCCTTTACCCTAATTTCATTTTTTTATTTCACTATTTTCTATTTTACTTCTTGACCCATTATGCTTGATTTAGGAATAAGCAAATTTAGGGTAAATAAGGGGTGCACTGAGATCCAGATGGGAATGAGTAAGATGGCCATGTATTCATTTGAATAAATTTATTTCCCAAGGCCATTTATTCATTTGAGCATAATATGGGCAACTGTTTTCTTTACTTATTTCCCCTTCAAAAATATATTCCCTCTTTGTTCCCGTAAACCTTGCAGTAGATGTAGAGGCCATCCAATTCCCTTAAACATTTAGAATGTGGCCTCAGTGATGCAGGACATTGTATATGGAACCTCCATATTATGCCCAAACTGAGAAATAGCAAATTTAGTAGCTACAGAGAATCACCCATTTTAGGAAGGACAATGGTCTTTGTCACAAAGACTTGGTTTCAGGAAAATTGGTAAGTTCTAATATGCAAGATTGAAACTGGATATGTAAAAGTAATTGCCACTTGTTAGTCACACGTAGATAAAGACATAAAGATAAAGACATAATCCTGGGGTTACAGAGAATTTAGTAAGTTGGACACTAGCCAAAGGAGGTGATGCTCTCTCCCTTAGGTGGTTAGAGTTGGCATGGTGACAGCAGCTGGGGGATGAAGGCAAAAAATTCATTGGTACACCAAGTATGCAACATGCATATTTTAGATTTATGGCACCATAAGCTATATACCATATTTTCTTATATACAACATACCCCTAAATAAGATAAGTTCCTTGTTTTTGAAAGGCGGAAGATCTTTCCTTGCTTCTGCAGCAAGAGCTTCTGCTGGTTGGAAGGAGAAAGTGTCCACAGCCATCAGCTACAGAGTCCCACATGCAGCACTGCAATGTTATTACTATTACTATATTTCCTTAATTATAATGAATACCTTGATTTCTAGCAGGTACGTGTTGTGTACAAGAAAATATGGTATAACTTTTATATTGAGGTATGCTGGCCTTCTTGGTAAAAATTCTTGCCAGTTATACCACATATATATAGAGTTCTTCATTTCTTACATGTAAAAAATCAGTTTTTAAAAATATCATGAGTCAATCTCATATTTTTAGTTCCCAGTAGGCCTCTTACTTCATAAATTTACCCCATACAGTATACAGGCATTTAAAATGTTCTCCTTTATTAACATGATTTTCAATATTTGTGTATACTGTGTGTATAAATAATGAAAATATGTATATTGTTTATCAGTGTGCGTGTGTGTGTGTATGTGTATGTGCTCCACAATTTAAAAAGGATGTGGAAAAGCTTGAGAGAGTCCAGAGGAGAGCCACTTGTATGATCCGAGGGCAGGAGAACAGGCCCTATGATGAGAGGCTGAGAGCCATGGGACTCTTCAGCCTGGAAAAGGGCAGGCTCAGTGGGGACTCGGTGTCTGCCTATAAGTATATAAGGGGTGTGTATTAGGATCTGGGGGAATGCCTGTTCACCAGAGTGCCCCAAGGGATGACAAAGTCAAACAGTCACAAACTCCCCCAAGACCGTTTTAGGCTACACATAAGGAAAAACTTCTTTACTGTCCAAGCCCCCAAAGCCTGGAATAGACTGCCTCCAGAGGTGGTGCAAGCATCTACTCTGGACTCCTTTAAGAAACATTTGGACGTTTATCTCATTGGGATCCTTTGACCCCAGCTGACTTCTTGCGCCTGGGGCAGGGGGCTGGACCTGATCTTCCGAGGTCCCTTCCAGTCCTAATGTCTATGAAATCTATGAAATACATATATATAGAAAGGCTTTTTAATAAAGAACATCTAAAGTGCCTGTATATAGTATGTGGTAATTTTTTGAAGTAAGAGGCTTCCTGGGGACTAAAAATGTGAGATTTACTCATGATATTTTCAAAAATGGATTTTTTTAATGTAAGAAAAGAAGAACTCAGTCTGTGACCACCTCAAATTTTGGAAGGCTGGAGTTTTTCAATTTATTAATTTGCAATTATTTTCAAAGATTTGAGGTAGGAAAAGGTATGCAGGTTTGACAGATAAGCAAATGTAAGCTATAGCATATACTGATGGAGTTGTAGTCAGCCAGTACTTGAGCAAAATCAGTTCGTAGATGAAAACAAGCTGCATGAAGCTGAACCTGAGCAGTTGGTGGTCAGAGGAAAAGAATTTGTAGGTCCACAGTACAGTCTCCTCTAACTGAAAGTGAAATCTCACCATTGGTCATCTCAGTCCTCAGTTTATGAGTGTGCTTGGGTTCCTTAACTGATGCTACAGGGATTTATTTGGTAGCCATGTTGGTCTGAGACAAAAAGAAATGCAGAAAACTATAACGCTTAGTTTAGAAATGATACCTTTTAGTAGACCAACAAAAAAAACCAAAAAAAAAAAAAAAAATTTTTTTTTGCAAGCTTTTGGGTTCACATGCCCTTCATCAGGCTCAAGGAAAGTTAA